CCTTTCCTTCACTCTCCCCCAAAATACACTACCAAATCATTCAAAATGTAAACTACCTTTCAAAGCAATAAAAACAGTTCATCACGTGTAAAGCATAATGATGTGAAGTTACAATTACCGTCACAGTAGCAGCCTAATTCTAGGTCACCGTTGGAGGTGATGAAACTTCATTCAGATCAGTACAACATAAAATTAAGCAAAGATTTGGTAAATCAAGGGAGAGAAAATATTTCAAAACAATAGTGCAACAGATGCTTTTTAGACTGACAAGCAGACAGACAGACAGACAGACAGACAGACAGACTGACTGACTGACTGACTGACTGACTGACTGACTGACTGACGGCATATTCCTTTATTCAATGAGTGGCTTTCAAAATATTTCAAGAAAAAATACAAATTAGCAAACCTACACACACTAACATACACAAAGCATACCAATACTAAGTGAAACTATAATTTCTCTCCATGGCAATGTGCTGTGTGTGTGTGTGCCAGCTCACCTATCAGTGGGCTGAATCACAGTCCACTGGCTGTTGATTTATGGGACGCAGGGGGGTTATCTATCTGCAGGCCTCCCTATAGAGAGGAGGTGGCGACTCCATCTCATGACGTTGGGCTGAACTGATAAAAGGACAGCCGGAGATGGATCGTGTCCACAATAATAGCCCTGGCTCACAGCAGCCTACGCCCCAAGCTCATAAGTCACTCTCGCACCAACTCTTATGGATGCTTGCCCCCAGCTCCATCTGACCCTATCCCCCACCTGCCCGGCAGTGTTATTTCACCCCTTGGAGATAATACGGAAAGTGTAATTGACTTGTTAATTGGCTTTTTTTCTCATTGCATTTTTTCCCTGATGGATGGCAGCAGTGATGGAATTGTCGGCTAAGTGGTCAAAGTAGAGGGTGGGTCAGTTTGGCAGAGGAGGCAAAAATCAGCAAGTCAGAGAGGTGAAAAAAAAGGAATGAAAGAGAGCAAATAAGAGAGTAAAGAGTGTAGAAAAAGACAGAGTGGAAGCAGTTGAGAGGCGAGGATAGATATGAAAATACCAGACACTAGGAGTGGAGGGAGTGGATTCATGCCGAAAATAGATAACCTTGATGTTAAAAGCTACATCCGTCGGATGTGTCTTTCTGTGACATATTGATGGCCCTTGAAAAGAGTCAAGCTGATTTTATGCAGGGAACAATCATTAAACCCACTCCATCTCCCTCCTCTCTCTCCCTTGTAAGTGTGGGGGTGTGTGTGTGTGTCTGCGTGTGTGTGTGTGTGTGTGTCTGTGTGTGTGTGTGTGTGTGTGTGTGTGTGCTGATTAAATGCAGAGTTTTGAAGCAGACTTTGTGATGTATATGGCTAGGAATCCCAAACAGAAGCCCTGGTTGTGGTGCTTGACTTGAATGTTACAGAATAACCTTAAAGAAAATCCATATGGACAAAGTATTCACCTGATAAACATGTTTCACTTGTTTTAAGAGGTACAGTACATGTATGTAAATTTGACTGTGGAATCTCCATAATAGCAACTATTAGGGTTACAGTGCTGACAAGCTTACCTTTTCTCAATGACACTACCTGCACCTCTACACACTACCAGTGACGGAATAGGCCACTGTCCCATATTAGAGCGTTGACACTCCAGAAAGCATAACTATTATTATTGTTGTCATTATTATTGACACTACTACTTTAGACTTAAACCTTGACTTTTCCTTTTGGCAGGTATTCAAGATAAACTTTTGTTTAGGTAGAAAAATACCCGGATCTTTACAGCCCACACTCCTGGCATGTATTTAAAATATGAAAGGATATATATTTAAAAAGTCATTGCCCGGTGAGCTATGGGAATATTGGCTTTTTGGTGAGGAATCGAGTGAAGTAGTCTAGAGTTGCATTCCAGCTTAATATAGCAGCAATATATTATATTTTTTATATACTGTGTGCCACATCACAACTCTCTGCAGCTACAACAAAGCAATAAAGTATCATGGACTACACCTTTGTCAGAACTCAAGAGAGAGTCTTCAGTTGTCTGCAGTGATTGGTTTAGTGCCCTTATACTTTATCTAGAAGATTGATATGTTCAAGAAAAAAAACAAAAACTTTTGTTACCATATGTGTTGATTTGATATTTGAGCACTGTGGAGGCTTTGTACAGCTGGCTTACTGGCACTGTGGCAGAATGGCCCATCAAGCCCCCGTAGAGAGGACACATGCTTTGGGTAATCAGCTCTGAAAAGACCAGACTGTATGAACTAACACTGCAACATTCACCAAGAGGAAGATACAAGATATAGACTGTACGTCCTTTTAATAAAGACAAGATGGTTAGCTGCTCCCCTTAAAAACAACAAGGTGCCGCGTGACATATGCAGAACAAAGGCCTGGTTGTTCCTCCACCGGGGCATGATGGAAACAGTAGCCTCCACATCGCTTTGTTAAGCTGTCATTTTAATGGCTGCTCCCGCTGTTCTCACTGTGTGCTATTTTTGTGTGCGTGACATGAAAGTGTGTATGGGTTTGCAATGTGTATATGGTTGAGAGTGTGGGTGTTGAATCAAGTTTGCTCATCCATGGCTTAGGATACTCAGAGCATATTGCCGACTACCGGGTTTGGCACTGAACCACTTGTTATTAAGTATCCGTTCATCAGGCGAAACCCCACAGGCGTGAGCGTGGCCTCAGAGGCGTTATGTAAGAGTGAGTTTGGCTTAGCTATTCCCTTCTGTGTCTCCAACCACCCCATCTTTCTCTGGTTTCTCTCGTAATAAGAGCAAGCTCTCGCTGTGATGGGAAATGCAGCGAACTGGAATGTGTTTATGCCCAAAACACACTGCTTAATGTAGTGCTGCAATGTATCCAGCGCTTGAGCCAGGTTGCACTGAAAATTAAGAGGCACTTTTTTGAGGCGCTTTTTCACCCACTGGGAAACAGACCTCATCCCTGTTCTTTGTTTTGCTCTTTCCTTTAATTGACTCTTCCTTTTCTCCTTTAATCACAGTTATAGCTTCTTGTTTAAAGAGCTGTTGGAGAGTTACAGGTCACACACCGCCAGAGTTTTCTGATTGGTGCTGGAGATTCTCAGAATGTGTTCCCTCCAATCCTTCTCAGTCCCCACAGGCTAGTGACGAGCTCAGCAGAGTGTGAAGACTCGAGGAGCCTTTAGCTTTAGTTCCTTCATCTGTGAAGGTTATCTCTGAAAGGCTTTGGTTGCAACTTACAAATATATCCCCTCCAGGTAATGTATTATCGGAGTCTTGGTTCTGGTACCTCAGTGGGTAATCTCTTTAAGGGCCCCGCTCCTGGAGAGAGTGAGGCTCTCGCTGGGTAAGCTGTGAATATGTGAAAGGCCTGGCGCCCATGTGATCATAGCGCTGTGAGACACCCTGAGTCCTGTGGTGTCAAGCCCAGTCTCCAGCCGTGGCACCTATATCCCCGGGCAAATCACGGCAGCTGGAATTCACCCCCGCCCCCTCCACAACCTCCTCACTGTCAGAGAAGCGCAATGCACACACACATACTATATGTACCCCTCACACACCGGGGGAGCAGGCAGGCATGGAACTGGTCCCGGATTTTATCTGAGGTGACAGCTCCTCACACTTCAGTGTTTGGATCACCTCAAGTATCTGGGCTATGAGGGGAAATGAGCACTGCTCCACTACAAAGTCCAGATTTAGATTGACTGAGCTTGTCCTCAGGCCTGTGGGCTGCTGCTGCTGCTGCTGTACTGCTGCTCCGGCTGACAGAACACCCACTTCTGCTGCGAGGGACTGGTGTGTGCTTGTGTGTACGTCTGCGTACTGTATATGTGTGCATGTGAGTGTGTGTGTGTGTGTGTGTGTGACTTGGTAGAGCCTACTTTGAAGAGTCAGAGAGAGTGGGGGGAACGAGAGCGATGTGTCAGGTTTGGTTAGAATTGAGGGTGGCATCAGAATATGCTCGGCACTAATATGGCACCAGTATCTCTGTCCCTATCTCTGCTTTCTGTCACTTAGTTGCCATTCTCTCCCCGCCCTTGACAATGTCTCTTTGGATTATGTGATTGGACTTAGCGCTTGGAGCACCCCTCATCCCTCTGCGACACCGCCTCTCCCATAAGTCTCTCCTTTTCTGCCCTGTCTCAGTCCCGGCCCCCCTCCTGCTATAATACACTTGATGTCTATTTAAAAAGCCTGGTGAAAGCTGTATCTGTTCTGCTGTCAGAGGATCATTGACAGCACTAATGCCACTTGTCCTTGCCTCATTTGGTGAGAGGTGACACCTAGCCGCAGCCCTGCCACATTCATCAAGTGGCAGTGGGAGCGCTGTGACATCAGAGTCAGAGCAGACAAGCCACAGAACTCTGGGCAGCCCTCTCCCTGGACGGCAACAAGAAAGCACGGCCATCTTGCATTCATCCTCTGAACTGCATAGAGGGCATGTGGCTTCTTAAATGACCTTACCTTTGCTTAACTATACCCTGTTCATGCTGTAGAGTAGATACATATTATACATGCAACTTCTTAGTTGCAGCTGCACAATGCAAGGTATTGCATAAAAGGGATACTGTAGCAAGTTCTTCAACTCCTCTATTGTCTAGTGTGTTTTATTAGCCTATTACCTGCACATACGCAAATGCAATGCCTATTGATAATTGAGTAGTTGCTTGCTGTGATGGGCCAGTGTGTTTGTGTCTGTGTGGGAGATGTAGGTGGATATGACCTTGTTACTTTCAGGACTCTCTCCTGAGGCCACACTGGTGCTTCTCTAGAACAAGATGCTCATCCTTCCCAGCAACACCTCTCCTCTCCTTCAGTTCAGTCCGGCCATTTAAAGCTGCCCAAAACACGGTTTTGTTTACATTGAACATTTCTCACTGAGAATTACCGTCCGTGTCCTTAAGGTCTTACGAAAAAAAGGATGTCAATGCATTCATTTCAATTTTGAATTATATATGTTTTCTTATTATTTTTATAACTAGACCTTCTCCTCACCTGCATCTCTCTCACTCTTTTTAGGGGTATTCGCCAAGTGTCGCTACATCTACTATGGCAAGCACTCAGAAGGAAACAGATTCATCCGAAACGATCAACTCTGATGGACAGCTGGTCAGGCACAAAGAGGGACATGAGTGACAAGGGATGCCAGCAGAAGGAAAGAGGATCAAATCAATCTTTTATTTGTCAGAACGACTGGTGATAATCGAGCCACCTGATCTCCCACTGGAAAAAGATTTTTAACTTCATCAAAAGTATTTGTTATGTAAGGGGAATGGGGGTTTTTTTAAGTTCGTAATCCAGCCCCATAGTTACGGCCTCCTCTGCTGTGCTGGGTCTGCATCTGCCTCCCTGCTTCCAGCTCAGAGTCAGAGATGACACTCCCACTGACATGATTGCCTCTAAGCATCAGCAACCGTATAACGCCAGACACACACACACACACACACACAAGCGAGGACAGTCTCTGTCGCTCTCTTTTTGGTTCTCTTACACACAGTCAGTGACAAACACAGCCTGCCAATTGTATCCTTTTCTTTGACAGCCATGATGGATCACCCGTCCACTACCGCCACTAATCAAGGGTGAAAGGGGTGACGGTCACACACACCTGGGGCCTGACATGGACTCATCTCTCTCATTCTCTCTCTGTTTTAGACACTCTCTCTCTCTCTCTTTCTCTCCCACACAAAGACATATATACCTGCTGATTAAAACATTAAGACATTGCAAAGAGTTTGACAACGTAACAAGATTTCCCAAGGCGTGCTCAGTTTATCTTGTTTAGTTTGTGGCAGACTACAAAATGCTTTTCCCTTCTTTTGTTTGAATGCATTTTATTGAATGAATTTTGTCTTTGTGTCTCTAAAAACATATTTCTGATATCTGAGTGATGTTTTGGTCAGTTTCTGTTGTGTAGAGATGTATCAAATGCAGCTTTTAATGTAAAAAACATTCCAATACTAGCTTTAATGAAGAACAGAGTTGTAACCAAGTATGCCTTTCAGGTATATCGTTATGTATTATGGTGCCATTTTTCCATGTTGTTTTGCCTTTTCCCTCACTGTGTGTCTTCGACCAGTTAAATACTTCTTGCTGAAATAGTCCCTTCATTATTTGCATTGCAATGTGATGTACTGCAAACAAAGAATAAGACCTACTCTTCAGAAAATTGCATCTAATGGAATATTGTCTCTACAGTTGTAGTGCTTTTTTAATGTTTTTATTTTATAATATGTCTATGATCACTGTACACTGTAAATGTGTTTATTGTGATTTTTAATACCTTATTACAACAATAATGCTGCCATCTTTTAGCATCTTAGTTTTAAGTTCTCTTGGCAACCTTCCAATCTAAATTTTTGACATGAATGATGTCATATTTCTGACACAAAATTGTATTAGCTGGAATCCTTCAAGTGATTAAAAGGGTTTGTCTAACATATGTCTCTTCTCAAACTGCTCCAGAGCTTAAGGTACTCAGGTTCCTTCACATTAATTCCTTCTGCCACCGTAATATACTGTATTGATTGTAATGATGAAATGTCCAAGACATTCATATTTTTTCCTGTGTAAAGCCTATAGAGCGAAAAGAGCCAATCAACATTTTAATAGCCATGTGTGACTCATAATTACAACCTCAAAAGTAGTTATAAAAGATGTCCCTGACTGCCATGAGGCTTGATTACATTCCCTGCTCCTTTATAGATGAAGTAGCTGGACAAACCATGGTGATGAGATCGAGAGGAGATGTTTGCTCTACGTGTATTTTGGATTTGAAAGAAGCCATGTTGAGCTTCAGTCTTGCACGTCAATCATCCACAGGCCGATGGAAAAAAGGTCAGAGATAGCCTCATGCAATGTTTGTTCACTATGTCGGTTTATTTCTTGCTTCTATTTGCTTAACAATTGTGTGCATGTGAGAGTATGCACGCTCGCCAGCCTGCGCGTATACGCCACTTCCTACGGGACTGTGTGACCATATTCCAGCTGACATGCCGTTCAGGAGCCTGGTCACTAGTGCCGGCGTTTCAAAATGACAAGGTTTATTTGTCTGTGTTTTGATATGCTCAGAGGAAACTGGGGCTGACAGCCGGAGGAGGTAGGAAGAGGGGAGCCACAACAAGTTCCCCCCCCCGCACGACACAAAATGTCATCCTTCCCCTGGCTGCGGCGCGCACCCAGCCATCCTGCTGAAAAGAGCAGACATTTAAAACTTTGTGACATGTGTCACAGGCACTGCCATTGAGCCAGTGCCACTGACAGAGCTGGAATTGACAGGCCCCGAGCCACCGGAGCTGACTGGGGGACACACCGAGTTTGGTGTGTGTCACTTCTCATCTTCGTCAGGGACGTATCCTGAGCTGCCACACCAACACAAACTGCGTTATGGGATGGGCGTGGAGTGCCAGAGCAGGTTGACATATGCTTGACGTGCACCTTTGTGTATGCGAAGGGATGAATGGGATGCCTGGCAACACAGAGAGTAGATTAATTAAGGTGTGAGCCACAGCCATCTACTTGTAGGCAATGCCCCCCATTGACCCTCCGCTCACTGCTGCTACTACTTGGAACTTCCTGGCTGAACAAATGGCACGTCACTTCATCAGAGCAGATCAGTGACGTTCTGGTACAGTAGCCCTGCAAGCTCTTCTACTAGCCACTCTACTATGTGTCTGTGTGTGCACGCTCAAAAAGAAGGTATAATTCTGTACCTACCTACATTTTTATATCCATGCTTGAGTGAGCCACAGTTGGCTGTCTGAGCACGTATGTAATGAATTTTGGTGTTGCCTTTAATACGTTTGAAATATCTTAGAAATGAAATGCGACTGTGACAGTGTAAACACGATAAAACCATTTTGTATGATTTGATTTCATACTAGACACTAGTTATAATCATGTTTTAAGTATGCAGGGCATTCACACTGGAAAAGTGAAGAAAGTAATACTCGATGTTAAATCTGCTTGATTTTTGAGTGTGGTGTTGATTGTCAACTCACAATGCACAAGAAAATAGTAAGCCTACTTAGAAAACTTCAAAAATGCAGACGTTGGTACACAATGCTAATGAAAAAGTGTACCAAGTATGTTTATATATATTGCATACAGTATTTCTTTACTGAAATTGTGACAATATCTTCAGATTTTGGGTATGATTAAATGTATTTACATACTGTATAATCTCTGAGCTCTCTATTACATTGGTGGCACAGCACAATTCACCTCCCCAAAAGGCACACTATTGTGTGACTCACTGTCAAAGGAACTAAGGACCAATCACCCTGTCACTACGTATCACCCCACAGCCTGATGACTGATTGGCATGAGCTAATGCAAATTTACAAGGAGGCAGAGGGAGGAGAAAGGGACTTGTCGTTATGAATGACAACTGGCCACTGATAGCAGAGCAGCAAACAGGATGGGGTGAGATTTAGATTTAACTGTCCCCCTGGCTCTAGAACCCCCCCCCCCCCCTCGCCTCTCTCTCTCTCTCTCTCTCTTCCTCTGTCTAACATACAAACTCTGACATACAAACTCTTTCCCTCCTGCACCTGAAGACATTTGGCAACACACCGCTGTCTCACTTGATCCAGAGAAGCCAAAGGAGAGGTGTTGGGGGGTGGGGTTGGAGTGGCCCTTATTTCCGGGCCGGTCTTAGATGAGTAACATTTGTCATTCAGGGTTGTGCTGTAGTAATTAGCTTGTCAATGGGCACCAGGCTGAGCTGGCTTTTTCTGCTAAGAAAGATGGACAGACTGACACGGGAGCTGACAGCCAGTCGATAATGTGGCAATTAATGTCATAAATAATTCCACTGCCAATTATATCAAAATGGACTCTGTTCTTTCACCTTGCCTGGTACTCCCTTATCATTTCCTCTGATAAGGGGGACAACCGTCTTCATCCTCCCTATAATTATGGGGCTTTTTATATGGAAATACAAAATGGCCTCACTCTCCACACGTGTTTATAGCACAGGGGTGAGGAGTGGAAAGAGGGAGACATGGACAATAAATGTAGCATGCTAATGAATCTGCTTTTTGTGCCCTTTACCTCGGGTATTTCTACGGGTCACATAACAAGACCTTGAGGCATTCCAAATGTCATTGGATGTACAAAAGAAAGAAAAAAGAACTTGATTTGAAAATGCAGACAATTATGTGAGAGAGATCGATTGGAGCTGATGTTCTAAAGGTTGAAAAAGCTTAACCAACAGTGAGAATATTGATCCTGACGCCCCATCACTCGGTGGGAAAAATGATATCCATTCTTTGTCTTCAAGATGCAGGTCAATCAATCGCAGCAGGTGAGAATACACGATGAGCTGGAATCAACAAGGGTTCGCTGCATAGTAAATGTGCTGTATATTCAAGGGAAATAAAAAGGGAAAAGTGGGAATTTGCTTTGAAATGCTTACTATCCACCACCTCGGCCTGTTTCCACTGGCTCATTTGTCTCGACAAGTGACTCAGTCACAGCGAATGGTCCCCATCAGCCTGACACTAAACTCTTCCTGTGAAATGTATGAGCAAATAAAGTGAGCTCAGCACATGTAAAGCCCTCCTAATGCATTGTAAAACAGCCTTAAACACATCAGATGTATCTTCGGGATGGGAAGGTCGCCCCGATGGTAATATATGGCCTGTGCTGAGAAGTCTCAAGGTCGTGTCAGATGTGCCTACATAATGCATGATTTCCCGTTACTCTTACAGACTCCAATCATGCCTCACAAGCCTTGAGATGAACATTTTACTAAGTAAATCAGCCACCTTGCTGGCATTTCTATTACCCCTCTGTGTGCAGTGACAGAGAAGATGAATAACGCTAAATAATAACACGTGATAACAAATCATATTTACTACTCGTAGAGAGAGAAGCGGCAGTGGATGTAAAACCGTTAGCTGGGTTTTGTTATTCTTTCATCTTGCCTGTATGGATTTTACTTCAGTTCTTTTTTGTACTGTATGTGTGCGGGTGTGTAAATGTGTTCTTTGTACTTTATGGAGATGAGTGTGTCACTCCTCCACTTGTCACTGTCCTCTTGTTAGATTGTGTGCGTAATTATTGTGTCATTTATTGCACGAGGATTGCTTGCTTTGAATAAAGCAGTTAAATGACCCTGTTAGCATAATTAATTTAACCATCCTGAGGGGCTGCAAAGTCTCATGAATATTCATTATTGTCAGTGTCAGTGCTAAATATTGTACAACAACAATGCAACATGTTTTTGTTTTGTTTTTGTTTTGAAGTGAAACATTCTTTGATGCAGTTTTTGACTAAAATTTTGACAGTTTGATCCTGAATCACTTTTTTAATTTTCTTTCAACAATAACACATTTATGGAGAAGAAACACCTAAATACAATACTTCCCAATGGCTTAATGTTACCAGATTAATATCAAAAGAGATGCTTTCTCTTTTTTTAACACATTTATGGAGAAGAAACACCTAAATACAATACTTCCCAATGGCTTAATGTTACCAGATTAATATCAAAAGAGACGCTTTCTCTTTTTTTTACATCAGTTAACTCATTGAAACAACAACTATATTCATTTACCAGACAACATACAGTAATTATACAGAATGGAATGGCAAAGGACATGCAATGTTGGTATTTTAATGTTTGCACCCTAAGGCCCTACAGCTAATGCTTAACATGACACAAATCATCAGCCATCGATTTTACACGCTTGACTTGAACAATCAAACATTTCGAAGGAAATTCCTGGAAGTATTGGCATTTACGTCTTTTCTCTACCAGGTCCTGAGGGTGGAGATGCTGATTGTGCGTATGTATGCTTGTACGTCCGGTGTTTATCTGACAACTGGACATGAACAACAACCAGAAAAAGCCCTCGGGTAAGACTGGTGATTTTCACACATGGGCAATTCTGTATGACTCCATTGAGGCACAAGAGAATACTTGAACAGTGTATTGTACATTGAGCTGAGTGATGTATGCCTACCAATGATATCGCACTCCATCGTTCAACTGGCCGCTGCAGTGTATGTGACTGGCGCTGTGGATCACCATGGAAAGCCTGGTGGAAGCAGAAATTGCTATTCAAAATGGAAAGAGAATATTTCCCATGAATGTCTTTGAACTGTAAACAATGTTCATACATTTCATATGAATACACACTTTATGGGCCTCCACGGTGGTGTGGCCTGAGGGGAAAGTGTGTTGTGTTGCGTGTCAGACTTGGTGGTATTTCCTGCGGCGCTCCGATCCTATCTATGGGGTCCTCTGGAGGGCAGCCTCTCGAACGTCTCAACACGGCCTTGGCCGACGACAGTGACATACAGAGGCAGTCGATTTTTGACACACAGCTGTGACTAATTGTGAGGAAAAGGTAAGGCACATCTGTTCTGGGGCCATTCTTAAAGACATGGAGATCCAGCCCACCTCCTCCGGGTATGGCTTAGCACAAATGAAATCCTTGAATCATGAATACTCTGAAGGTGAGCAGCTATTTACTGCGGCCAATCTGGCTTTTATGGGAGTAATATTGGTGGTCACTTGTAGAGAGCTCATGTTTTAAGTATATTTGTCCTCTCTCTCTGCGAGCCTTTAAAGGAAGCTTATTGACTTTCATTTGTGTACTGTAGTATAACAATGTGGCTTTTTGTAATATGTAATTTTTTGTAATGCACATAATTGTTATTGGGAAAAAGTTGGTTCAAAAAGGCAGTGAATTTGAGGTACCAACTGGGATCAAAGGCTTTGCTAAAATCGTTTAATTTCTACAACTATAATGGTAAACATGGACTCAAACACCTATCACATTAAAGTGCAAGATCCGAGATTGGGAGCATTTCGATTGCCTCTCAATAGCTCTCAGTGGCTCATAGCTAAAAGTACTAACAGCGCTAACAGTGTAAACTAAAGCCAAAGTGCCGACAAACCTAAAAGTACCTGAGGGGGTAACGGAGGGTGGGTATTCTTACGCGACGACATAGTTGGCAGCTGTAAGCGCCGTTTGAGAGCAATGTAGAGCAGCAATGCTAACATGCTGACTTTTACCATGTCCAATTTCTACCACGTTCACCGTCTTAGTTTAGTGTGTTATCATGCTAACATTTGCTGATCAGCACTAAATAAAAAGTACAGCTGAGTCTGATGGTAATGTCATTAAATTTGAAGGCATTTTGTCATGAACCAGAATATTGGACAATGTCATGGTGGCACACATGTCATGGTAAAAGTTATTTGTCTTTGCATGTAGACAATCATTTATGTGCTGATGTAGAGGGTTGAAAGCAGCTAACCTCAGAAATAAGTTAAAGGAGGGATAATCAAAATGGGTAGAATTAATGCAAGTCAAAATCAGACATTTTAATTCATTTCATCACTAACCCACCCCAAATTTCATTGCATAAGTCACTACATGTGTCTCTTCTATGCTTTGTCACAGGTCGATAAATATGCCTTAAATTGAGTGCACATTAAGAGTTGAACATGTAGCTAACTCATGAGATTGTTTGCACGTGTTGCCGTAGAAGTGATATGTTTGTGAGAACTTTCTGTGAATGGAGATAGAAGGCTGGTGTATTGAAACTTGTGAATTCACTGTGAATACTTTAATGTATGAAGCCGTTTCAGTCAGACTTTATTTCCTGGTTATTATCTGTAGCCAAACGGACATATTTGTGGTTTATGGCCAAAACAGAATAACACTATTGTAACTTAATTTCGCACATAACATGGCAAATGCACATGCTGGGTAAAGCCATACTAAAGCCATACAAAGGACAGCGCCATTAAATGATCGGGAAGTATTTGTTGTACTTGAACTCACTGTGTGGAAATGTGTTTTATGGAAAAGGTAAAAATGTGTGTTTTATGATAAGAGAATAAAACTAGAACAATAGATGTTGGAGAAAAGCCGTGTTATTAGTTTTGTTAAGAATAATACTGTAAGGCCAGTTCATATTGGGACAGTACAAAAAATGCATTTATTAT